TGGTATGTATCTTATAATTATATTACCTGTGAGCATGAACCATCATCAACCCTGCAGCCATGATAACTTTGACTCTTTGCACAACAGGGTTTGGCTTTTGGTCTTCTTCATGTGAGAGAGCACCTTTTATGTCCCATGCTGGTCTTTCCATTCCAGCTGATCTTGATAGCTTAAAATAAATTACATTAGATATAAGTGAAGGCAGCATTTCAAGATTAAAAAGAGAAAATATAGAAGCTTAGAAATTTACCTCCAAAATTAAACTTAGGCATGCTGGATAAAAAGTCATGAAGACTACGTAGTTCACAATAACAGACATGCAGCCAAAACAGCACAAAACTTCAAGTCGACGAACGCCTGTATTTTTAAAGTCATCATTTATTAGAAACATTGCCTGCTTATATGAAATACAGCACAACTGAAGTAAATCACACCTGACAGAGTTCCAACACCAATGACAAGTGCTTCAACAACGGTGTCAAGAGTAATAGTAGGACCTAGAAGGGCAAGGCCTCGAGCAATATTGTGCCTAACTTCTTCTTGGGTAGAGGAACTTAGAGCATATTGTGCTAATAATGATGTTTTGGAAAGATCAATTAATAACAGGAAGAAGAAGAGAGCATCCCTAAGCAAAAGAGGAAAAAAGACACAAAATGAAAAAGATGTTTTAAAACTGTTTTGCACCAATAGGTAAAAATATTCAAAACACTTACTTAAAATCAGAAATATCACTCCACATGAAATTGATAACACTAGAACTAAATACAAAACTGGAAAACACAGTAAATAGGCCGGCAATTCCTACAACAGAGAAAATAAACCAAGTCAACTTTAAAAACACAAAATAGCAACAGGACTGGCAGTAACCAAATGTTCCGGAAAGGAAACTCACCAAGAATGTATTTAGACCCAAGTTTCTTTAAATTACGGAATTGATAGTAACTGTACAGCACAGCCACACATCGTATCAAAGTCATAACAATGACATCAATAGCATTATATTCCTGCAGAAAAGAGAGGAAATTGAGGATGCAAAGTCAAAGTATGTCAAGTTGGCATGTAATCCTTTAGAAAATGTAACTTCTGTGAAAAGGCAGATTGATTTCTAAATTCTTACCTCCCCATCATGACAGCTCTTTCTCCAGTAGGCATTGCAGTTGTCCTGAATGTGAAGCTGACTGGCTTGGGTCTGCCTATCAACTGTCAGCATGCACAATGTTAGGGTGAGTGTGGCCACTATCACTTCCCAGGGGTGTGAGGCGCAAAGCTCTCCGTGAGCCAAGAACAGTCGTGACACCATCCTGGAACAGAACAGACACACTATACAATTTAGAAACGTGTGCGATACTATGCTGTTTCAAAGGTGGCACCGGAATCCTCAGGAACACAGCTGTTAAAAAATCCTCTGTAAATATAGATCTATACCAAAGACACTGGCCCACAGAAAAAATACAGTTTAATTTGAAGTAAATAACATCTGAGGAATTTACTGCGATTCACTGAAAAAATAAGTAGGACGTAGTACTGTGGCTAATTAGTTTGCTGGCAGAGACAAACATTGGTTGGAATACCGTCATATTCTTGTCACATAACGTGACACATCTACCGGGTGTTTCAGAGCGGACACCGCAGTGGAGCGGGATTGGCTAATCCCTTCGCCCGTAAAGTGCCATAGCCCCTGCTCATGTAGCTTCTTGAGCATATTAGTCCAATTATTAATAGGTTCTGACAAGGCTTAATGCAGAATGCAAGGCCTTCAGGGCTGAAAATACTTCGAATACTGCATCCGTGCAGCGCAGGCGATCGTCCAGAAAGTACGTCCGCCTTTCTCAGATTCGTTCGGCAAATTACAGGAGCTCGGCGCGCCTGCGGAACTCAGGGTAGGCCACCCATCAGTGCTCGCGTGCACTGCAAGCGGCATGTTGCCTACCTACCAGGCGCCATGAGGCCTTGCATTGGCTGAAAAGTGGGCAGTTACGTTAGAACGTACGTCTAGAAGTGGTGAGCTTAACAACAGAGTCACATTTCCCCCCTGACGATTCGAAACTGTCCCATCTCGGTGCGGTGAACATAGTTTGGGTGATTTGGGTGCATCGACTCCTGCGGGCGCTGCGCGCGTCCGACCATAGCAGCGCGGCGCGCCCAGCTGGGCCGCGTGGCGCGATGAACCCAACCGGTTCAGCAACCGTCTCCAAAAAGGCGTTCACATTGCATCACCGGCGGCGGGTGGTGCTGTCGCCTTGGAGGGCACGGGGCGGGGAGGCCGGCGTGTCGTGCGGCACAGAACAGAACATAGACGACGACGCCGACGCCGCGGTCCCGGACGACACGCGTCCGCAGCCCGCGGCGGTGGCGGCCGGCAGGGGGGCCTGGAGCCCTCGGTGGCGCCTCCAAGCCGCATGGCACGTGGCGTAGGCGCCACTTCCGCTCGTCGGCGCTAGCCTGACGGTGCCTGACGACGCAGCCCCCGGGGTCGGCCCTGCACTGCTGTCGCCCGAACGTGACGACAGGACAGGTGCTTTGTCCGGGCCGGGACGGGCTGGGACGGGGCTGGGCCGGCAGGGGCAGGCGGCAGGCGCGCGGTCGAGACGCAACATTCCAGGATAATATGTCAGGGTCGGCTACGCCGCGCCACGCCACAGGCTTGGGCCGGAGCCGGAATGAACGCAAAACGACATGGAACCTCGAACGAGAGGGAACGAGGCACGGCGGGAGGCCAGCCCGGTCGTCCCGCTCCAAGGCGCTGCTGCTGCTGCAGCAGCCGACGGGCACTTCACTTTGAGTTCAAAAAGAAAATTTTTTGAGATTTTTCGCATTTTTTTCCCGATTTTTTCAGATATTTTACATTGATTTTCCCGTCTTTTTTTAAAAGTGAAGTACATCTTGGCCGCTGCTGCTCAATGACAGGCTAAGCATAAGAGAGCACCTCGGCGGTGAGAACTACTCGGAGGGCCATGGGCATGCGCTGCGGCGGTGAACACGTCATTGTTATTGTCCGGTCCGGTGCGTTTGGCGCGCGGCTCGGATGCAGCGGAGAAAGCGTATGAAGGCCAACGCCTGTGTCGTCCCATGCCGTCCCGCCGGGCTGCTGCGACACGCAGAGGTGCCGCAGCCGCTTAGGTAACCGGACCGACGTCGGCGTCCCTCTGCCTTGGACCTCTTTGGCGCGCGGATTCAAACGCCGGACCGAGTCACAGCAGCGCGTGTTCTTTGTTCATACGAGTCCCGCCGCGCTCATGTCACTCGGCGTTACTCATGGATTTGTCGCCTTCGTTTTGTTTTTCATGTCCCATGGCGAGCCGGGAGCTGGAGCTGGTGGGCGTGGCTGGTCCTCTGGTCCTCCTTCGTCCCGCTGACCTTAATGAAACCCGAAGAGACATTCGTTGGGGCGAGCCCAACGCTGCTGGATCCTGAAGGTCCATTCTGGACTTAAGGCCCATTTTGGACTAAAGGTCCATTCTGGCCTGGAGGTGGGTCTATTCTGAAGGCCCACGCTGGACGGCTCGGCTCGTGTGCAACCCTCCGGACCGCTGCGGGGGCATCTAATCCCTCCCGTCTGCAAGCGGCCGCGTGGGCGGCCGAGCTGCCGGGCACTGAGCACGTCTGGAAACGGATCTGTCTGGATCGGGTGAGCGATATGATAGAGGGATCTGTGCGTCTGGTCTAGACTGGGCTGGGGGGCCACCCGTCGCGTCGGGTCGGACGCGTGGGGCGGACCGAAGGACGCGCGTGGTGGGGCGGGGATACTTCGGGTACTTAACTATTATTTCAAGCATACACCGATATGGTTTTTCTTAATTTCCATTAATTTTTCCTCATTTTTAAAATCGTTTATTAATTGTCTTTTTAAAATTCATTCATGGTTTAGTTGATTGTTTTGGTGAAGTATCCATTGGCGTGCTGTGGCAGGAGAGGGGAGAGGGAAGCGGCGGGACAAAGTGCAGACCAGGTCCGGAGGGGAAGGGTTGGCATGGGAAGGGGAGGCAGCCTCCCCCCTCCCTCCCCCGGGAGGCAACCCGCGGGTAGCCGTCCCACCAGTTCTCGAGTTGCCAGTCATCCGCAGAGGCTTATGGTTGTCGGGGGTCGGGTCAAGGCCCGTCGTCCGCAAACAGTTCCGCCGGCCACGGCGCGCTACTGACCTGCTCCGTGTAATTTGGAAAACGGAGGGGAGCGAGCGGGAGACGTTCAACACTGGCCGTGGGAAGGATTTTTCGAGGTAATCTTTCCAGCCTTGCCGTCGCGCAGTCGTTCGTCGGCTGGTCTGGTCGTTCAGAAGAGAGGAGGGGGAGGTAGGGAGGAAAAAGGGGAGGGGGGTACTGGGCGGCCTACAAGAAAGAATACAACAGTACTCCAGAACCCTGACACCTGACACAGCAAGAGGTTAGAGCCCACCTTCTTTCTCATTCGTGCCCCGCCTCTCTAGCCTGGAGCCCGGCCCTGTTGGACATTGGGATGCGGAAGTGTACACGACGCGCCGAGGCGTGCCGCAGGGGCGTGCTGGGCCTGTCAAACGCTGACCGGCCAGCCCCGGCCATCGGCAACAACACTCGAGCCACGCTGGGCGGCCCGGCGCCTTCGCGGGGGCCCCGAGGCGACGAGTGGAGATGTCGAGATGTCGCATTTGACGACATTTGTCCCCCACTGACACGGTTTCGCCCCGCTTTCACTGCTAGGGCCGGGCGCGCTTTTGGGGCCAAGTGCCGGGGACGAATACAGACAGTACAGTGCCCAAGCCTGTACAGTGTTCCGTCGGGACGTCTCTCTTGTCTGGAGTAATAACACACGGACTCGTGTTGTTGCCCCGCTCGCGGTTTCTTCCTACCCCAACAATTTGCTTCATCTGTGACTCGCCTGCGCCGCGATCTTGCCCGTCCTCCTCCTCCTTCCTACTCCTCCTCCCCCTTGCCCCACTTCAACTCCCTCCCCCGGCCCCGCCCCCCCGCAGGCACCTGCTGGCCGTCCAGGGCAGGACAAGCCGGTGAAAGTATGAGCTCAGCCACCGCCGCTCCGCACCGCACCGCACCGCCTCAGCGGGCCGGGCCGGGCCGGGCGCGCGCACTGCCCAGCAGTTGGGTAACACTTCCTTCAACTTCCGCACGTCCACCGCCGCGCCAACTCCAGGCCTGCACCAGTAATGGACGCGCTGTGATGCGAGAGGAGCTCGATGGAGGCGAAGGGGGCGGGGACGGACGGTGCGCCTCCTGAGGACCTGGCTCGGGACCTGGGCTGCTGCTGTGGGACCCAACCCACTACGAGCCAGCCTTGGGGAAAAGTCGTCAACACCGACTGCATAGAACTGCACTCAGGAAAGGCCCGAGAAAATGGTTTCTTTGGTTCAATGAAATCCCACTGAACAATATTGGTTTTATCACATCAAAGGAAATTTCTGAGATAATTCTAGATAAATCATAGACATTTTCTTTGACTATTACCTTTAATGTGATATGTAATAAAATCAGTTTTTATAAATCAAAGAAACCCTTTCCTGGGTGTGTACACGTAGACACTTTTTCAAAGACGACACATGCACTGATATTTCTTTGACATTATTTTTTGAAAATTTCCCGCTTTTTGTTTCATATTTTCAGCTAGTGAGAAGTACCAAAGCAGACGACGGCTGGGTCGAGGCGACGAGGCGTGCACCACACTGCACGGCGCTAGAGAAAGCAGCCAAATGCCTTTACCTGAAAGCATCGCCTTTCCGTGGCTACGCTTAAAACGTGAACGTGAGAAACTTATCGCGTGAGCCAGCCTGTCTGGCCCGGTCTGGCCTAGCCCGACCTGGCCCGGCCGCCTCGCCGTGTTTCGGGAGAGTAGTAACTAGCAAACAATTCCAGCAGTGTACTCTATCGATCAAGGAACTCGATCCGGACCCCCCCACCCCCCCGGTCCCCCGTGGTGATAGGTAGGCGGCAGCCGCCCCCAGCTTCACTCAAATCCAACCCTTGAACAAAGTTTCACTTGGTAAGGGGGGAGGGGAAAAAGTCTCGTGGGAGCTCATCGGCACCTTGTCCGTCTATTGGCGTCCCTCGATAGTTTTCGACCCTTCCTCTGCTCATGTTGTCCGCAAGGTGTCCGTATGCACTATTGGGACCGGCCTCGCTCGGAGGCCCCCGCGCGGGCCGGGGCGGGCGGGGGCGGGCAGCCTCCTAATCAGCAGAGGCTCTGCAAACACCGCAAGTTCCCGCGCGGCGGCGGCTGTGGCAGTTAGTGCGGCGGCCTTCGTCAACCCCAAAAGGACAAACAACGGCGCCGGCGGCAAATTTGTCGTCCCGACCGACGATATGGCGGTCGGCGGTCG